TTTCCAACATCTATTGTAATTATTGAAATCCACCTCTTCAACGTTAAAGCAGTGGGTACTCCCTGAACTTTAAAGATCCTAAATAAGAGGCTCCTAAATTGCCTGTGCAATTTTCTTTTTCAGTGCATGCAATAAGTGGGCATGTTATGGATGATCTATAAATATTGCAGCGCAAATGTTAAGTTGTGCAAACCAGTTTGGTTCTGCCCATTAAAATGAGCAGATTCTGTGTTCTCCTGGCAGTTTGAGAGCCGTTGTGAAGGAAGATGAGGTTCAAAGCCATGGAGATGGAGATAATTATTTTTGCTAGAGAAAATATTAATGGTAATACTAAATATCATGTTATTTATGCAACTCTTTGCCCTCATTATATTTCTACAAACATGCCACAATATTTAAGCTCAGTCATTTTTTTTATTTGATTAAATTGTATAAAGATTGTCTTCTATCCTGCTGAATGAATCTAAGTTGACCTGTAGATATTTTTTCTTCATTAACATTATTATAATATTGTTATTTTTGACACACAGAATATCTATCTTTGTATCGTATGCCTCCTTTTTGGCAACAATAACTGCAGATATTTTTGTGTGTTAATTTGTACCTGACTTTCAGAAGTACTAAAAAATATGCTAAAACTGCTTGAGCAGCTGAGTTGCCCATGTGGAAAATGCCTTTGCAAATGGTAAATGTTTATATTTGCATATGCTCCACCCATGGTTTGACATTGTTTGTTCATTAGAATATGATGATCAAACTCATGAAGGCACTGATGCAGAAAATGCTTTGCACATGCCGTCTACTTAATTGGGAGCGGAAATGACTTTGCACCTTGTTTGAAGATCAGCTCTGCATGTACGAACAGATTTACACCTGTTATAAGAAATGCAAGACCTTCTCAAGATCAGTCGCTTAGTGTTATCCTGGAGGTATTGTACAGGGTAACAAGGTAAGAGTAACATTTCTTTTTTTAACATTTACTTGATCCGAAACAGCATAAATCTAACATAATACAAAGTTTTCCTGAACCGCTTCTCTTTATTACTCTGAAAGAGTTGGTTTGTGTCCTTTTAGCAGAAGATGTCAGATTTATGCTTTTCCATCTGTTCTATTTTTATTTCCTGTGTCATCGTGTGCTGGAGCTCTAATGAGTTGGAGGCCACACGCCATTGATCACTCCCTTCGTCATACTGCCATCAACAAAATCCTCATCAGTCGTGGTGTTTTCGTTCACTCTCTCTCCTGTGGTTTAGTTCCTTTTTTTCCCACCAGTTTTCTCTCCCAGTTAAATGAAGTGGTTATAGCTGCTGGATTTGATTCTGCTTTCACACTCCTAGTTGTGCTATAAAAGGATGCCTGTGAGGAAAAATAATGTTGTTTAGTTATACGGTCTCATTTGATGCGCAGCAAGCAGTAGCTTTTAAGGGCCTTGTTGTCTCATTTAAAAGATGAACATTAGGTTTTAGTACATTTGTCTCATGGGCATGATATCTAAAAATTACTAAAATCAATCTTTTTATAGCACAGATACTTTATTAGTTCTGTTGTCTTGACTCTTTTCAGTTTTCAGACCAATTTGGACAAAGTTTAAATTACCTACCAATTGAATAAAAAATAAATAATGTCTACAGCTACAGTAAGTTGTGTGCTGAATGAAATGTCCTGTCCCTCCTCATTTCTAACCCTTTTTAACAGCCTAACCTTGACCATTACCCTAAAACCTATCAATTATGGGTTCATCATACCTAACCTTACGTAAACTCTTTTTACATTTTAGTCCTAAACCTAACACCTAACCCTAAAAGAGCAATCGTACCCATGGGCATCAGGTATTGGTCTCTGTGAGGAGCAATGGGTCCCTATTATGTGCTATGATTTATGGAAAATAGTCCCCGTAATGTAAGAAATGAATGGCCACACACACAAACTTTGAGGTATTTTGTCCAAAGCCTTCATTTGGCCATTTTAAGACAATAGTATTGTTTCCTTCAGTAGTTAGAATGCGCTTTCTGATAAGGCTCTTTTAAAGAGAGTAGCCTTTAAGACTATCTTGAACATACTTTTCTCCAGTTCTTTGATCATTTGATCTTAGTATGAAGTAATATTCTAATCTTAAATGTTGTGTTTTATTAGCTCTGATCATCATAAATAACAGAGCCAGAGATAAAATAAGGGCAACTGCATCTAATTTATAGCTGTGTTGAGTGGGTCTGTATGCTTTGATTTAAACTATTCCACTGTAACTGTCTTTTAATATGCCCATCAACACTGAGCGGGTCTCCTGCCTTTGAAAGAAAGTATTTTCATTGCATGTCACCACCTCCATTTATTTATATTTAAACACAGCAGAGTGGCACACTTTTTAGCACTGTTGCCTTAAGTGAGACGATTTTGGCTTCGATTCCCAGCCTGGGGTCTTTCTGCATGGAGTATGCATGCTCTCCCTGTGCATGCGTAGCTTCTTCCCACAGTTCATAAACTGTAACACGGTTAATTGGCATTTCTAAATTGTCCTTAGGAGTGTGCGTACAAGGTTGTATGTCTTTGTGTGTCTCTGTGTTGCTGTGAGACAGACTGGAGCTAGGGACCGGCCCCATCGTGACCTTGATGGAATAAGCGGGAGAAGTTTGGTGGCTTTTGCATGTGGTTTGAGTTCCTTTTTTTTTTTTGTTCTTTCACATTTTAATTCTTATTCCCAATTTTTTTGCCTCCTGGGCAGTGTATATATGTAGCTCCAGAGTTACCTTAGATGTCTTAGCTACTTTTAAACAGCATACTTTACTTGCCCAAACAGTCCTTAGGTGTCAGTGTGTGCATGAATTGTTGTTTGTTCTTTTGTCTCTGTGTTTCCCTATGATAGACTGGTGACCTGTCCAGAGTGTACCCCGCCTCTCATCCGTAGACAGCTGGAGATAGGCACCAGCAACCCTTGCGACCCCAGCAGGGGTAAAGCATGACAGGAAATGGATGGATGGATCGATATTCAGAAATTATAATTCGCTTCACCAGGCAACTGAACAATCACAGCATTAGCATTGTGAAAACAGCTTACAAAGGATGATTATATATTAGCTTAAAAAACCTTCTATATCCAGGCATTTATGATTATATTTGAATATTTATGGATTCTCTTCCCATGGAATGTAAATCAGGTGGGAAAAAAAGTTTGCAGCAGATTGGACTGGAGACCTATGGGTAGTAGAGAGAGGCAGGTATTAATATGCATGATCACAACTGGGAAGTGATTGACTTAGACAAAATTGTATTGTCATTTTGTATCCAAAACGAAATTTGGTTTCGAAATTGGGAGCTGGGATGTGATTAGCAGATTAGGTGCAATTGCTCAAGACCACCACCCCCACCCCCCCATTAACTTTATTTCTTAATATGACATTATTATGACAATATGACATTTCTTACACCATAGCTACATTTACTCAATTTAAAAGGTGAATTTTATTTTATTTTCCTATGTGAAATGAAAATAAATGAAGAGAATACAGCTGACAATGATCAATCTGGAGAAGCCCTTGAAGGTCGTTATCCCACAGGTTAACCTGAACTCTTAAATAAATAGACTTCCAGCACCATAAATCCTTTAAAGGTAAATGAACTGTTATTCATCTTCTATTTGACCCCACTGTACTGTAAATGCACATTCTGTTTATGTCTAACAAGATAATTTTCAATAGTTGTTAAATAACAATTTCATTCTTCAGGAGCTGCAGCTTTTTGTGGTGATAATGGAAGTTTATGAATAGAAGAAGCGTGCATATGCATCTTTTATCATATCAGTTTATTTGCTGAACTTTATACAAAGTGGACTATACAGTTTCTCTGGAAAAATATTTAACAACCTTGTTGCATTTTTACACAATCATTCATATAGTATGATCTGCTCACTCTGGCTGGAATAGAGTCTTTAATTAGATGGAGATGCTTACTGCTCTCCTCCTTGCTGGCTTTTAGATGCTCCACAACAGGTGTCACCGTCCCACCCACCCTCAGATCGGATGCGTGACCAGCATTAAGCCGTCTTCCCCGAGGCGTGACCACGCAGGCTCAACAAACTGCGTTACATCCATGTGCATAACACCTGATCAATAAAACGCGTAAATATTTGCTTGTGAAAACGTTCTGGTTGATCTGCAAAACATCACACTTGTAATGCATCCTCATTTATTTGCGTAATGCGTAATAAAGGATAATCTCCTGTAATGTGGATGAAATCCACCATGTTTGGTTGTTCTAGGGTAACTTAGAGATGAGATCCCCACATTTTCTGCAGGATCTGTAGAGGAGGCTGCATAGTTAGGACAGAGGTTAGGTGAGGTGTGTGGATCCTGTCGCAGTTGTGTCCTTTAGCGCTCACACACTGCGGGGAGACAGGACACACTGTCTGTCGTCCGCACAGGGGAAAAAAAGAAACAAAAGAGGCTTTTTATCTTTCCTTTTTGTTTTCTCTTTCCTCTTTGGTGACAGATTGGTTTTGTTGGTGTTGTTTCCAGAGGGGAAAAAATGTTGTGGAAAATACTTGAGTACCTTTTTCCGTCAGAGGAGAAGAAGGAAGGAGAGATGCGCTCTCAATCAACCGGTGGAGTGTTGCTCTATTCCAAACATCCACGGATCGAGCCGCTTCTTCTGTTGTCTGGAGATGTGACCTGTTGCAGATGTTGTTTTGCAGACTTTAGGATAGAAAGGCAGCGGAATTAATCAGTGCCAACAGGTTCATTTTAAACGGAGGAGCGCCAAATGAAGAGGATTTCATTTACTCTCTTTTTTGGATTTGTGTGACTTAAAAGAATAATAATAATTAAAAAAAGAAATATCGGTGTTCAACTTTGAAGTTAGGGAGCATAATGTTTTCAGAAATGACTGAAACCAAACAGGATCTCATCACTGCGCTGCTCTGAACGCGGCACCGCGCCCAGCTTTGAGGAGGACTACAGCCCAGTAACCCGCTTTCCTTCTTTTTATTAACCCCCCGTTTTCTCCGATAGAATGGCCCGCTTTGGAGACGACGTCCCGGGCTTGTTAAGCTCCGGGGATGGAGGATCGGAGCGCAACCGGACCCGCGATGGAGCGGCCGTGTCCACAGGTGGGATCTCCCCGGCGTTCAAGCAGACCAAAGCTCAGCGCGCCCGCACCATGGCCCTGTACAACCCCATCCCGGTCAGGGAGAACTGCTTCACCGTCAACAGGTCGCTCTTCATCTTCGGGGAGGACAACGTGATCAGGAAGTACGCTAAGAAAATCACTGAGTGGCCATATCCTTTTTTTTTAAACCTGATGAAACTTGATGCATACTAAAGCAGAGTCTCCAGGGTATGCATGGAATAAATAAAAGGTAGGTTCAAAGTCAAAAACAGCATATATGTTCACACCCAGCCTGTTTGAAAGCTTCTCCTCAGCATGCTGCAGAGTTTCACCTTTATAATAAAGCAATATGGTTCCCCAGTGGCATGGTTAGATATGAAACTGTAGTGGTGCAACAGATCTGAATACACAAAGCAATGTTTTCTTTCAAACATTAAGAACAACATGGGGGTGTTTTCTTATTTTTTTGTCTGTTTATTTTGTTTTTGCTTTGGTATTAAGGTTGGTTGTGACTCTTGCCAAACCCCTCAACCATAATAATACCAAGCCCTGGATTTTTTTCTGTTTTTATGCTCTTTTTTGTTTTTGATTACTTGCTCAGTGGAACAGTGGGTAGCACTGCTGCCTTGCAGCAAGAAGGTTCCGGGTTCGATTCCCGGCCCGGGGTCTTTCTGCATGGAGTTTGCATGTTCTCCCTGTGCATGCATGGGTTTTCTCCGGGTACTCCGGCTTCATCCCACAGTCCAAAAACGTGACTGTTAGGTTAACTCACTCGGTCGTGAGGGGTGCAGTAATTAATTAATCAGACAAATTTTAGAATTACTCATTTTAATACGGGGTTGATAACTTTAATGACAACCTATATAAATTGAATAGAATAATGCATCAGTGAAATGCTGTGAATGCTTCCACATAATGCAAGGTTAAGAGAAAGTTGTGAGGTTGCTTTTAAATGTTTGCCTTGAATGTTTGCCCTCAGTGTAAAAACATAGGAGGTTTGGACACCACAAACCGGTAACATAAAATAATCTTCAAAATTAACTTCTGTGTACAAAACATCCTTTTAAAAAAAGGACTTAATATTGTTTAAAACTATATTATAGAGTTTCAGTTCTGAGACCTTTCCAGAGCTTTACAGGTGTCATTCTTTCAACTTTGAAAAAATACGAACAAAAACAGCCATCTCTATCAACATTAGGTCATAAAGAACCTTTTGTATACATCACTCTCATTATAGAGATTAATAGTAGATTAACTAGAGCAAACCTCAATCCTTATAATTCTGCTAACAAGTGATTAATGAAGCAAATGAAAAAACAATTTGATAACCAAATTATCATGTCATGATATTTGTTTAATTTCAGCCAATCGTTTAGGCCCTCAATTTGCAATTGAAGTTGACTCAGGACACTTCACAGACAGTCATAAATAAATAAAACAGCGTAAGTGAACAACACTATTTATGCATTTATTACACGTTTGTGAGTTGCATATTTTTGGGAGCTTGTCGACACAATATTCAAAATATATGCAAGCATGATAATTTCAGAAATTTAAACAGGAATTCAATTATAATGGTTAAATGACTAGATCAAAGTATCACCAAGGCGCTAGCTATGTCTGTGATGTTTCTGGTCTCCAGTGGTCAGTATACTTAATACGTGCAGCAGAGTCCTTGATGCATGTATTAAGCAAAGACTGACCAGTTACAGCTTCATAGGGGAAATTAAACTGTACATCACATTGTCTCACAAACGGTTGCAGAGCTCAGACTAGATTGACCATGCTGGTCATAATTTAGTACTTGTTCAGAATATGGTCTATTCCAATCCAAATCAATTCAGTACACCTCAGCTCAGCCAATTTAGTTCATATGCAATGCAATCATTGTATTTTACAAACAATGTTTAGACAAATATCTAAAACATGGAATGTAGATTTTATATGACATATTCATTACTTCTCCATTATTAATATAAAGCCATTAGTTGCCATAACAGCCTTTAATATTTTGCTCCAGCTGTTGCAGGGGATGCAGCATAGAAGTGTCGATTAGTGGCGTGTTTATGCCTCTGCTATGTTGCTGCACGGCTCACCAGGTGTCCAGGCCAGGTGTGGCCTGTTCGCAGACTATTGTTCTGCTCCATTCAGCAGCTTCCTGACTGACTGACTGCTCCTCTGCTAGGCTTTTAAACCCAGCTAACAGAACGAGCTTTCTTTTGTGGTTCACTGCTGCCTGTTTTTTTTTTCTGGGTTTAAATCTTTAGTCTGGAAAGCAAGTGTGCATCACAACAGTTTCCAGTTGGTTTGGTTAGTAACTCTTCTATAAATTCACCCGTTGGTAAATTTTATTTTCCGATCCAAATCCAAATCAAAGCGTAGGGATGCTGTTGTGATCAGTGGTAGGGCAGCCATGTGCTTTGTGAGAGGAGTGTCTTATTACGTAGAAGGAGCTTCTCTGTATCTGATTAACAAATTGTAAACATAATGCCTGTATTTGTAATAATGTCTGATCGCATGGCGTAAGCTGTTGCAACTAGTCATAATTAGCCAGTGTATATTACATTTTTTGATATAAAGGCAAAAAAAAAAGGTAACATTGAACAATGACAAAATCACAGATCACAGCTAAATGTTTAAAGCTCAATAAGCAGTTAAACAGACTTATTTAAATACAATTTCTATAAAGGACTTCAGAAACAAAATGTGTTTTGTATATTATAATTAGCTTTAAAGATAGAAGTAAAAAAAAAATAAAACTGACAGGTATTATAGGGAATGCTTCAGTTTTAAAAATATGCTTATATTAAGTGTTAAATGCTTACTGAAAACACAGCTGTATAATATGAAACTTTAGCCAAGAGAAAGGTAGAGAGACAGTAGTAGCTTGATAAAATGATTTCACTAGCTCATGTTGGTCACCATTTAACAGTAAATTACCTCTTTTTAATAAACTGAATAACAGAATTGCAGTCTGTTTTTGTTTTTCCATGCTTTATAATTTCTAAGTCAGGTCCAGTGACTTCCTGGTGTCTTGTTGTCATTGTTTTGTTGCCAGGCAAGCAGAATGCATTCGTATTAAACACACCGATACAGTTGTGCTCAGACGTTTACCTGAGCACCATGTTTAATGATCTCTTTGAAAACCTCCCCTTCCAGGGTTAAATTATATGATGATACAACTGCAATGTTTTTTATTAGAATCTGTACTAGTTTCTAGTTTGAAATAGGTCAAATTATACAGACAGGCTTAAATGCATGGATACACTCTTGATATTTGAGTAAATAAAATACAGGCTAAAGGCCTGACACCGGTTGCGTACGACTTTTTGATCTCCAATCTGATTTTTTTCTATGTCACACTGACTGTGTATAGAGAAGGTCCACCTAGGCAGGGTGGGCTGATCTGCGCATATTTTTTTCACTTCTTCCTCTGTGCTATACACAAATGAAACCAATTTCCCACATTTGCTTGGACAGATTATGAAATTATAAAAAAGAATAATAATAAAATTAAAAAACACTGCACATTCTATAAAGCAAAGCACCACTTAACGAATCTGTGCAGCATCTAAAACCAGAACAGATAGAGACTTTTTATATGCCCATATTAAAAACACAATGAGATTTACGTGTAAAGAAAAGAAAAACAAAGCAATAAACGCTGTGGGGCAGTTCATATGCTGACATTGCGGTTGCCATCTTGCTGTAATGCCAGCAGAAAGGCGCTGAGAGTGGTGCATTGTAAAATCCGACATGCAGTTTTTGCATGCATCCCTGCTCTAAGACACCTGAAACAAATGACCAAACTACTTCCTTGGCATGTCGATTAGTTAGGCATAGGCTGGATCATTAACCATTAATTTGTTTCAGGTTCATTGCAGAAGGTGTGCATGTGGGGCCGCTGGAAGTAGTTTTGAACAGGGGGTGCTGTCAAAATGTTTTGTTTTATTTTGGTTAAAAGACCTTTGAGCCTATTGGACTATTTAAAATACAATAAAAAATAAATAAGTAAATAGATTCACAATTTTATTGTCATATATGCTTTACATTGAATGCAACCAGGGTCTGTAACACACAAAAATCCTTAGTTTTCAGGTGTATATATGCACTATTAATTAAACTTCACAACAACACTATAACAACATAGATTTGGTCAGCAGGCATGAACCTGAGTCACTGTCTTTGTCCAAAATCCTTTGAAGTGGACCACAAGGAAAGAATTATGTTATTACACTATTTAAAGGTTATTGAAAAGTTCCCCATATCCATTACACAAAGAACCCAAGATCAAAATAACACTATGGTTATGTTGAACTGCACAAATAGATATGAAATTGCATGGCAGCACTATGTTACTTGGAGCTACAGGCAGGGTGCCATTCCTGGTTACATCTTGAGGTGCGCTCTGGGGTTGTGGAGATAAAGTATCTCATGAGTGGACAAATGCGAAATGCATTTCTGTGCCATATTTCATCCTCGTTTTTCTCATAAGACTGTAAATAATTTGCTAGTCTGCTGCTGTGAGCAGGATTAATCTTTACTCGGCGACCTCTAGCTTGCTTGATGTTGCCGTGACAATGTAGTCAAAATAATTAAATCAAATTCAGAATAAACTTAATAGTAAAATAAAAAAGTCAAAATAATTTCCCCAAATATTCATAAGAAATTTCTAAATTATGCAAAGTAGTTTTCTCCTTCTTGCCACCACTTCCTGCGGCCATGGGTGCATGCAAAAGCTGCAGGGCAGTGGCACACTGGGTAAGAGGTTGCCTACCCATGCACTAGACTCTTACTTAACTGTGCCCCCTAGAATCTGTAATTGGCAATATCTCTCTTATGCATTATCATGCCTGCTTAAAAATTGTTATGCTTCTTCAGGGACCAGTAGTCTACACACTGTCATGTTCAATTGGTGACATCACATGAGCCCCACCCACTGTGTAGAGGAAGTAGACACAATTTCTAACAGGAAGGTCTGATTTGGTCCAAAGCTTGAATCCTTGTTCCTGGAGTTGCCTTAAAGTGCAGTTAGGAAACAGACGGTTCACGGTTCAACACGACTTGTGGCTTTAATGTGATTTGAGGCTGGAATGCTTAAAAAATTTGAATAAACAGTTTTTATAAATATTGCGTTTTTTTTTATCAGTGCATCGTAGTAAAAAGAATA